ACATCCATTTAATGCATATTTGTATACCTATCTTCCTTATAATCGTTTTTCAAGCATAGTTGAATATATGGGATGTGATATGATGCTTCACAAGAAAAAGGTTACGACAGATTATCTTTTGGGAATATCATACTTGCAAATGATAACTTGATAATAAGATGCTCAGAGGACTAGACTCTGAAAGTTAATTTTACCATGATTTTTCTGCGAAATTCCCTTATGCAAAGAATAAAAAAATCAGTTTTTTGTACAGCGGATTAACGCTTTTATCATCTACTCTGGTTAAGCTCGTCGCGCCGACGGGTTTACAACCTCGGGTACAGTGAGAAATACAACACACACTTTATCAGAAAGCCCTAAAACCTAAGGCAAATTGGCCTTTTTCAGGTCAATACAAGTTTTGTGGAGAAAGCAAGTCCCCTCTGCAATTCATAGAAGGCAGACTAATCGTTGAAACTATTCGTTAATTGGTGTCTAATCCTCTGATATTTTACACATCGTTTTAATGGCATTATATCACAGAACATCATCATCTAATACCTATCCCTTACAAAGTGCTAATACAAGTTTAATCATAACCTGCTCTAAGCCAATGTGGGTTCATTGGTGCTTGATATGAGGGTCAGCTAAGAGAGTGCAAAAGAGAATACGCTGACAGTAAAGGTTTCAGATGACTCTTCTGTATATAATTTATTTTTTATCTTTGACTCTTCATAAAGTTAGACGGAAGAAATGGCTGAAGCAGTCTCTTTTTAAACCAACGAAGAGTCTCTCAAGTCGTTGTGGCTGCACTTTTAGTCTTTAAATCACTTTAAGAGACCTAGTATGACCAAAATCCTTATTTCTTAACTGCTCAAATTATCGAAGCATACTTCGACTCTGAAGTCCGCTAATTGTCTATGGTTTCATCCGTCAAAATCTATCACTTGGTGCTCTCCCCAAAAACTTTACGATCCAGTCTGTACGGTGATTTCGGCCCAATTTAATGGCCTTACCGTTTTCCAAAGTAGGTTCCGAAATATGGATATGTGGATTAAGAGGCAAAAACATCAAGTTTGATTTTTATCTCCAAAGTAGGTTCCGAAATATGCATATGGAGCTTAAGAGGCAAAAACGTCAAGTTTGGCTTTTATCCTTGATGATAAAATTTGCATATGCATATATATATATCGATTTATACACATCGCTTTAGTAACATTACATCAAAGAGCTGCTATATAACTAGACAGTATTAGCGGACCTCAGAGTAGTAGTATGTTCCGATAATTTAAGCAGGTAAGGAATACGAATTTTGGGCATCCTTGATTTTTTAGAGCGATGTAAAGACTAATAGTGTGATTTTCTATGGTGAAATACATAGGCCTCTTCATGCAATTTAACTTTACTCAGCTATGCCCCCCAACAGATTTTCAGATCACGGCTAGACTACAGTTTTGACTTCGTCTCGGTCTCACTAGCGGCCCCACAAAGATTTGAAACCAGGGCGTGATCGTATTGTAGACGCAGGTCACAATTATAATGCGGAACCACAGATGCCAGTGGCTGCCATATTTGGAAATTCCACGAACTTTAAGCAAACTAGTCTGGCTAGAATTCTTATTCAATCATGAATAATAGTATCGAAGCTTACAGACTACGAAGATAAGTGGCAAAAGTACATTGTATTGCAAATTCCAGGTTTGTTTGATCCCCAATTCTAGCATAAATGTGATTGGTAGAGATGCCTGATTTTTCTTAAATTTCCCAATCACTTTCTTGTCCACAGACATCAGTGTTTGTATGGCTGCTTATGAACCGGTCTCGAATCTCGTTGGGCATGCTCATGAGAACTAGGCAAGATCGAAACTACTGTCCAGCCATGCGGATAAAACCTTGGCAAGGCAGAATTAAGTGAAATATTTATAACATCGTGGAGCGTATTCTTATGATTATGCGAAAAGCACCACAATTAGTCCTTAAATCGACATAAGCGACCTAAGGTGAGTAAAGTTCTTATTACTTAAATCAAAACGACAATCAGAATTCCGATCGACTTGAAGAAAATGTTACTTAGTTGAAAACTTATTTCGCTTTAATCCAAGCATTAGGTGGCAAAGTGATAATTCGGTTGAGGCAATAAGCCAGATTGCGTCTAAAAGCCACTTTAGAAAATGAGTGAAAAAGCACTACCGCTTATATTGACAGGAAGTGGAGTTCGAGGATGTAAACACATTTTTAAAAGCAATTCTCTTCATTCTAGGTCGCATTAGCTGATGTGGCGTAGTGACGACATGTAAAAAATATACACCGCAATACTCGGGTTCGATTCCCGTTAAGAATAGTATAGAGACACTCCAGTCCACTCGCGATGTAAAAACCTTTTAAAAAAGCATAGCGAATTCAAATTCAGTGGAATTGGGATGCCCGCTCGTATTGAATACAGGTCCTTTATTATCTCCACAGTCTAGGGCTACTAGAAGTATTCTTCAATATTAGCCATCAACCGATATTTGCATCATTCCAAGGCTTCATTTTTGGCTTTTTTTAATGTAACCGAACTAGCAAGTCATCGTCACGATCTTTACTTTGCACCCCTTTACCAAATATGTTGTGTGCATTCGGGGCCTCACTGCATCTATTGTTGCGTAGTAAGTATCGAGTTTTGAGTCCGAAACTGTAGGGCTTTATTTATTCTAAATATGCATGCATGTCTAGAAAATGTGGGCCTAAATCAATCAAGCAGTACCTTCTCCAATCTGACTTAATCTCGAAAGCAGTTTGTTTTATATTACTATACACGTTTCAATCTACTCTGGAGTTTTAGCAGTGGTGAAGGTTATTTCGTTACATTTTTAGGGCTGTCGGATACCAGCCGTCAAATGACTATTGGAAGAACCAAAATACCCCGCCATTTGGTATCGGCTTGCTTTCTGGCGAGGTCTATCTCATCGAGCCACTTGACAGAGAGGCGACCGCAGAATATGAACTGGAGTTGCGCGTTTTTGATGGGAAGTGGACTTCTACGAGGCGCCTTCATGTGACAGTGCTTGATGTCAATGATGAGGTGAGCCCTACCATGTCTCCTTTTCGTGTCATCTGCATCTTTCCTGGATGGTAGATATCTGGACCACTTGTGTGTCCGCACAAATTAGTGGCTTGTTAACTTGTTAGATTTTGCTTTTACACTTTTTCTGATTCCACTTCAAACCAGCTATGAGCGCCTAACTCATTGATAGGGCGTAGTCTCCTTTTAGTTTAAGGTGCCCTCACGGCCAAAAATTAATCCCTTTAAAACTTCTTAGAAGATACTTCGTAACCGGTCCTCTGCCAACTTTGTTGAAAATTTTATTCCACCACAGGATCATTGAATAGGCACATTATCAAGCGTCTCGATGGCAATGCAGTCAACTTTGTCAGGAAAGCAAGCGAGGAAAAGTACAGGAATACAAGTCAGTAGAAAGGAAAATTCTGCCTTCTCCAGGAGTCCGGCTGTACTGGAAGATGGTAGTTTTGAATCTAACTGATCCGTAATCGGATGCGGCTTCGAGATTCTCTCTCGCTTCTTACTAACTTTCTCTCTCACTCTCTCTTTCTGTATTTGTCGGTTTGTCTGTCTGTCTGTCTGTCTGTATGTATGTATGTATGTATGTATGTATGTATGTATGTATGTATGTATG